CATAGTCAAACTAAACATCCGTCCACCACCCCAAAGTAAGGAGTGCCCAGAGAGTGAGCTAACTTGGTGGAGGTTTGCGCTCTCTGAGTGCTTCTTGTTTTCTAATTGAATCAAATGGAAAACCAAACAATGTTAGTTATTGTTCTGCATTATATATATATATATATCCATATATATGTATATATGTACATATTGAACTATTCTTAGTTAGCGTATTGTCTGTCTTCTTAATGTTTGTTTATAATGGAGCACTGTAACAAAAAAAATAATTTCCTCCAGGGATCAATAAAGTATTCTGATTCTGATTCTGATAAACCCTAACCCATGTTTGTTTTTTGTTTTTAATCTTTGATCCACAGTGACTCAGCCACAATTTTTTTCAATAACATATAAGTTTAAAAGTTCCTGAAAGAGTCCCCCCTCCCTCCAAGAGTACCTAACCACTTCTCTATAGAAAAACTAGAAAACTCTTGTCTCTGTGTCATAGCAAAAACCAGAGTGTCATCAGACTCAAGCCACAAGTTACGATTAACATGTAAACTAATACAACGTGCTTTACTGAATTTAATGAAACCCATTTTCTCCCTGCGACAGACTGGTGACCCTGTGTTAGCCGGGCCAGGCTCAAGCCCTTCCGTGACCCTGATAAAGATAAGCGGAAGAGAACGACTGGATGGGCACAATTTCTGATAATTTTTTTAAAATTCAGTTCAATTCAGGTTTATTTATATAAAACCAAATCACAACAAGAGTCACCTCAAGGTGCTTTAAATTGGAAGGTAAAGACCCTACAATATTAAGTAGCTGCTTCTATCTTTGGTAGTTTAGTGGGTCTGACAATGCTATTGATGCTATTATTATGTAGGTCAATGATTCAGTAAATTCTGGCAGATCATTCCAGAGTCTTCCTGCTTTGCTCTTTCAGTTGCACATATAAAGACAATAACAGTGAAATTATGCACTCGTGCAGCTTAATTCTGGATAAAAGTCTGGCTGCTAACTTCTGCCCTGTCTAAAGTCAAGCAGTATTTTTTTCATTCAAGCAGATAAAAAGACTGTTGCATCCCTCCAGG